GCCCCCCATAGTGAGGATTAAGCGGTGTATAGATGATGGATGGATGGATCTAGTTAATACAGCCTGTTCTGTCTTCACTACAGTTTCATTTTTACGGGTATTTTAGTTTGCAATAGATGTGAAACTCCAGACAAAGTGAACAAAAACTTTGCTCTCTGTGATGTTTTCAGATCAATATTGGTGCTACTTATAAGGCCCTTCATGGCCCAGCCCCCATATATATATATATGTGGATTATTAGATCCTTACTCTGCCAGCCGACCTCTCCGATGCATCGATCAAGGCCTCTTGGTTGTTCCTCGCTCCCTTTTTAAATCTAGAGGTGACCGTGCTTTTGAGGTTGTTGCTCCGAAGCTCTGGAACAATCTGCCTCCTGAAATTAGATCTGCTGACTCAAAAACTGCTAAAAACCCACTTTTATAGGCGAGCCTTCCTTTAAGGTGTCGTTGCGTGTTGTTATGTCTTTCCTGTCCTCTCTCTATTCTCCTTTCCTGTGCTGTTCCCTGTGCTGATACTCTGTGTTGTATGTATACATGTTTGTTGGAACTAATTTTAAATTGCATCACATTATGTTTGTACCATATTTTGTCAAAATTGTGTTTTGATCTTTTTGTGGTATGTGAACGCGCTTTGTAACCCTGTGTTTTAAAAAGCACTTTAAAAATAAACCTATTAAATGTGGAAGAAGTACATCATTGGTGCATGACTATCCATTAATGTGACAGCATGCAGTTCAGACTTGTGTCATGTCAAATACAACAAGCGATACAAACTTTTTACTGTGTCTGACCTCATAAGATTATTGTTGTGACTTTTACAGACGAGTGACAGACATGAAGGCGACATGCTCAGATGCCGTCAGATTAACGGAGAAGAGTTTGTTGAGTTGTGCTTAGGCCATGTACAACTATATGTACGTTCCTCAGAGGAATAAACATACAGCCGAGTCTTCGTTCTAAAGTGACATCATCTCCAGAGCTGACATACTTTCTGAACATGATCCATCGTCTCTTTTCTCCTCCCAACTGGGTCACCTTTGTTTCAGTGAAAGTGATGAGTCACTGCCTCTTCTCAAAGTCCTCTGATGATGTTATCTAACTCACCTTTACTGCCGTTCTTCTGGCCACTTACAGGAGCTCAGAAAACATACGTTACTGTAAGAGAAACCCACAATGACAACTGCAGCCTCTACCTGTCTGTCTGTCGCCTAATCGTGGCGTTCTTGCCTCTCTCTCAGTGACTCCATGATTAGCTCTGATAGGTCAGCAGCGGTGCACGATATACTTAGATTCCATTTTCTTTCAGCTTGTGTCATCACTAAAGGAAGGAGAAAGTCTTTGAGCATGTTCCTCTGATTTTCTAATTTATGCCACACAAGGCAGTGAAGCGTTCATTCATGACACAGCTGGATGATTGTGGACGGATACCAAAGAGCAAACGCTGCGCTGGTGTCGTGTCTCTGAAAATAATGCTACACACAAATACACAGCTTTTTGATTTGCAATATTTGTTGACACCGTCTCTGAATTCTGACATCATGCAGCAGCACCCCCCACCCACCCACCCACCCAGAGATACAAGTCTTTCAACTCTGGTCCTGTTTGATCCAATGGAAATAAGAAACAGTGTATTGTATCCAGGCAACAAGTTCGTTGCCAGGTGACAGATACAGAGGTCCTGAGACCAGAGACTGCGTGTAACGACTCCACATGAATAAGACGAGGCAGAATATCAGTCACCTCCTGCAACTCACGCGTTTCTTTGATAATCCTGCTTTGATCAACTTTACCATCACAGCAAACAACAGGCGCACATCTGTGTGGCAGCATCCAACCCGTACGCTCCTTTCTCCTTGAACGGAAACAAACGCAATAAATGCTGCACATGGGCAGATGAAGTGACAGTAAAACTCAACGGCAGGAAGCTGATCTCCGCACCTTTTGTGAACCTTAATCAGCCTGCCTAATTGCCGCACGGAATCAGGATGTACACAGTGACGGCTTATCAGAGAAGACATATCCGCCAGCAAATATGAAAACAGCCATAAGTGGTGGGATTATCAAATGTGCTCCTGCCAGAACGCTGGGCCTTTCATGTGGCAGCCATGAGCAGAGATAATGATCATTTCCGAGGCGCTTGCTTCGGCTGACAAATCCACCGCCACCATTAAAGGCTTTCATTCTCCCCCAGAGCTGTGTGGGGCGACTCTATACTTTTACTTTGATTCAGATGCATCTCCTTTAGCAAGGGGCATTTGTTTACTGAGATATATTTAGCTCAAGTGAAAACTCAGATTTGTAAAGCAAATATTGGATGTTAAACTGTCTGTTAGTTTACTGCTCCTGCTGCCAGTGGGACATTAAAGCTGCACTCGTCTTCCTTTATACCACATACTCATAAAGTATCACAGACCTGATACCTGATTTTATATCCCCCATACCTCTCCAGTGGTTGTTAGCTTCTTTTAGCTCATTGTTTTGGTTTTAACCAAAGAAGATAACTGAAGATTTCATCAACCCTGTCTACTGTTCCTGTGTTGGTGGAACATTAAAGCTGCACAATTTTTATTTTATTTATTTTTTAATATATACCAAAAAAGTGACAAAATAGATGATAATTAGCTTCTGTTAGCTTACTGGCTTGGTGGTTAAAGTTTGTTTCCATGAACCCTGTTTATTGTTCCTGTTGTTGGTGGAACATTAAAGCTGTTGTTGTTGTTGTTGTTGTTGTTGTTGTCGTATTGACTAAATGTACCACATAGTCACAAAGTAGCAGAAAACTCTGACCAGAATCTAGAATTTTCCTCAGCTCCACGAGGCCTTTTGGTCTTAGCTCCCATCAGTCCTGTTTCATCCTCCTGCTGTTGGTGAAGCTTCAGTATTTTTACTCTATAATGTCACAATGTACAACAAAGAGACAAAGCACTGGATTCGTCACCTGATTTTATAATTAATCTCAGCTCTATGAGACATTTTAGCCTCTTTTAGCTCATTGTTTCGGTTAGCTTCCATCAACACTGTGTTTAGCATACGCTAGCAACAAAAAAGCACTGGAGCGCCGCCAGGAACAAAACAAAGGAAAAGCAAAGCCGGTGACTATCTGGCAAAGAAAGTCAAACACGTAGTGGCCAGATCCCCAAACAGACTTCTTCAGGATGGGTTGAGATGAAAACGGAGCTAAAAGGAGACTGAATATTAGACTTAGATGGATCAGGTGACCAGAATCATGACTCCACATAAATTCTAATGTTAGGAGTTCATGCGTTATGGCTAACATCACAACTATGTGAGATGTAAGATTCATCAGCATTTTACTTTAAACATTTGTACATTCTTGCAGTTTTTATGGGAGGAAACTTGTACTTTGGAACTTGGTATTTGTAAGACAGAACACATTTTTATACTGGTATATTTCTGGTCATTTATCTTGAGTAAATGGTAAAAGAAGATAGCGTTACCAATAATAAATAAAAGATAATTACATGTTTACTTTGGTTTACAAAAGGAAAATACCTTTGGGAATTCAGGACTGCTGTTACTACACTAGACTCCAATCTCTAATATCTATTTTAACTTGTTTTTTCCCCCTCAAATTAGTAATAGATAATATTTGAGATGTAAATTTGCAGACGTGAAGAATAAAGCGTTTTTTTTCCTTTGTGTCTTTAGTATTAGAATAGAACAAACATGACTGAATGTTTCAAACAGATTGCATGTCCCCTGATGCTGGAAGATGAACAAACATCTCAGAATTCATTCAAAGACAAAAAAAACCCATCTGATATTTGTGTCCTTCACAATAAAAGAACACCACAGTCACATAAAGGTCACGCTGCTGCCACAACATAGTCAGAGCTCTGCTGCCATCTTCTTGCTGTTTCTTCTAAATGCAACTGAAAGTAATTAAAAGACAGACACAAGAATTAAACTGTGCAGATCTGCCATCTGTTCTTTAGAAAGCATATTTCTTGGAGGCGGCTAATTAGTGTGGAAGAAGTTGTACCTAAAAAAAAAAAAAAAAAAAAAAAAAAAAAAAAAAAAAAGCTCAATACTGAAGCTACTGCCATCTGTCCCAGGGCAGTAAACCGAACTCTGAGTTCACTTAGATCTTTTCTTCTCTCTGTCGTGAAGCACAATCTAAATCAGTGGGGCCTGCTCAGTATTACATAATACGGACAGGATGCTGGTT